CCTTACCAAAGAACCCCTGAAGAACCGTCTTTTCTAAGTGTGTTGGTGAAACTGGGTCTCCAGGGCTGGAGTAAATGTAGTCCAGTGGTAACCGACCACCACACCTTATCAGGTTGATGATTGTCCTCAAAAGTCCTTGAATGAGGTGCATTAAGGTCAAAACTGATGGAAATTGATGGATCTTCTGGACAAATTCTGGTGACCACTGCTGTGGGCAGTATTTTACCTGGTTAAATAACTTTATATCGATAAACGTGTCTAGAAAGTGGTTGAATAGTCCTATAATGTCCACACAACATACTCATTATGAGAAATATTACATAGTTTGCCTGTATTTAAATGCTTTTATTTACCAAGGTAATTTTTCTCAGTAGCGCACAAGCCAGTTGCCCAAATGCCAGAGGTCAGGATCATTCCTATTGGACAAGTCGCACATTGGGCTTAGATTGTCCTGCTTCATTGAGAAATAAAGCTTTATAAACTGGATAAAATTGGATAAAAACAAATATGCCTGACATTTCCCTCTATTACACAGGCTTGGCTTTTGGTCCAAGTTATCTGGCTAACTGTAAAATCTTGCTTTGGCTACTAATTTCCTCACATATTCAGTGCAATGAAAGTTTTTGTACCCCATCTTGTCTTTTGTAGATTTAACTAGGATAGCGGGGATCATAAACGTGTCACTCATTTACTGTCACTCCACCAACTTGATGCTAATGTAGACAACATGTCCTAAAGTAGCTGCTCCTAATTTTCAGGTGGAGCTGGTGGATGTGAATGACCACGCCCCGCGGTTTGCCCGGCCCATGGTACCCGTGGAAATCTCGGAGTCAGCAGCCGTGGGAACCCGGGTGCCTCTGGACAGCGCCACGGACCCAGATGCGGGTGACAACGGGCTCCAGTCTTACTCCCTGGCACCGTCCAAAACCTTTGGTATTGATGTTCTCACCAGGCCCAATGGTGCCAAGTATGCCGAGCTCGTTGTGTTGGCACCACTGGACCGAGAGGAGCGTGCCAGCTACGAGCTTGAACTCACAGCAACAGATGGTGGCGACCCACCTAGGACTGGCACCACAATGCTCAGGATCACCATCGCTGACTCCAACGACAACAGCCCTGCATTTGAAAAATCGTCATATGTGGTCACCCTGGCAGAAGACGCACCGCTGGGCATGCTGATAGTGGACCTGAATGCCACAGACCCAGATGAGGGCACCAATGGAAAGATTGTCTACTCGTTTGGTGCACACGTGTCCCCTAAAGTCCTGGAGACTTTTAGGATTGATCCAGATGATGGTCGACTCACTCTGCTGCGCAAAGTGGACTTTGAAATGGCCGATTCCTATGACATCGATGTCCAGGCACAGGACATGGGGCCCAACTCCATGCCGGCGCACTGCAAGGTGACAGTCAAGGTGCTGGACGTAAATGACAACAAGCCAGATGTGGCTGTGAGCCTAATGGCGCCGGGTGAAGAGGACGTGGCATTTGTGTCGGAAGCAGCAGCACTGGACACTTTCGTGGCGCTAGTAAGAGTGGACGATGCTGATTCTGGGCTGAATGGTGAAGTCGTGTGTCGCCTGCTGGGCCAGGGGCATTTTAGGTTGCAGAAAACGCATGAGAAAAACTATATGATATTGACCAATGCCAGCCTGGACAGAGAGAAAAGGTCAGAATACAGCCTGACAGTCATTGCGGAGGACCGTGGAGCACCTAGCCTGTCCACGGTCAAGCATTTTACTGTGCAGGTGCAGGACGAGAATGACAACGCCCCAAGCTTTGACAAGAGCAGGTATGAGGTTTTCAAGGCAGAAAACAATTCGCCTGGTGCTTATCTGGCCACTCTTCAGGCGTCTGACCCTGACCTTGGTGCTAATGGCCAGGTAAGCTACTCCATCCTGGAAAGCTTGGTTCAAGGCAGCTCTATCTCTACATATGTGACCGTTGACCCATCCACGGGCGCCCTCTATGCCTTGCGTACATTTGACCGTGAGGAACTCAGCCAAATCTATTTTCTGGTGCAGGCCAGAGACTCCGGAAACCCACCCCTAAGCAGCAATGTCTCTGTGATCTTGAATGTCCTAGATGAGAATGACAATCGGCCAGTTATTTTGGCGCCGCCCTTGTGGAACCACTCAGCTGAAGTCCCAGTCTCCAGGCGTGCTGATGCTGGAGAGCTGGTGACTGTCATCAGGGCGACGGATCGGGATGCTGGTGCCAATGGTGACCTTTCGTGCCACATCATTGTGGGCAATGAGGCGGGATACTTCTCAATGGATAGCAGGACTTGTGAGATCTACACTAATGCCAGCATGAAAGATGTTCCGATGGACAGAGTGGACATCACGGTTCTGGTGCAGGACCACGGGTCAGAGCCGCTGGGGACCAAAGCTGTGCTAAGGCTGACACTGTACGAGAACCTGGCTGATCATCACCAGACGGTAAGGCTGCATGACGTGCACTGCCAGAAATATACGTAAGTGTAGATATCTTTAGTTTAATAAAGGGAGATAATTGATTTTTTGGCTTTTTTTTGTCGATATCGTGCAGCCCTACCAGACAGGCAGTGGAAGTGGAGGGGAAAACGTCCCGGACGCTTCCACCATCATCATCATCTCTCTGGGTGCAGTATGTGGTCTCCTGCTGATCATCATGGTGGCATTCGCTCTGCGATGCTCGCGAGACAAGAAGGACACGCACTCCTACAACTGCAGAGTGGCCGAGTCCACATACCAGCAACATCCCAGGAAACCATCCCGGCAAATCCACAAAGGAGAGATCACCCTGGTTCCGACCGTCAACGGCACCCTGCCGATCCGGGCACATCACCATGGCAGCTCACCCGGAAACTCACCCGGCCAACAGAGGGCGCACATGAGCAGCCGGCAGAGTCACCACAGCCACCAATCACTGAACAGCCTCGTCACTATCTCGTCCAATCACATCCCAGAAAGCTTCGCCCTGGAGCTCACGCATGCCACGCCCCCTGTGGAGGTAAGGCGAACTTGCATATTGTAGTTTTACATATGTTACCACAAATAAGCGTCCCAAAATAGGTTCTTTGTAGCGGTGCTCTGGAAGAACCACTTGAACCAATCTTTTGAAAAATTCAGTTGACGGGTTCTTTAGGGCAGTGGTCCTCAGTGACCTTCCAGGCGGTCCATGTGTTTTGCTCCAACCCAACTCACAGTAAATATGGCTAGACCATTTGGGGGCCCCTGAGATCCGGTTTAAGGACCACCACCCTAAAGAACCGTTCAGTTCAAAGAATGCAAGGTTCTTTAGGGCTGTGGTTCTCAAACCATTCCACAGGGACCCCTGGACGGTTTATATTTTTGCTTGGTTTATATTTTCGCAGTGCATAAACCTGGAGAACCAATGTGGACCATCTTTAGATCATTTTAGAACCACCATCCTAAAGAACGTGTCAATCCAGTTGACTCATTTGAAAAGTTCCTGGTTCTCAGCAGTGGTTCCCGGGAACCCTTCCGACATTCCACATTTTTGCTGCAACCCAGTCTGAGGTACATACAGGTACAAATGTGGACCTGTTTGAGAACCGCTGCCCTGAGGAACCCTTTTAAAACCTCATTCGAAAGGTTCTCAAAAGTGGTGACAAAGAAACCTTTTTTGGCACCTTTATTTTCAAGCGTGCATAAGGCGCCTCATTTGAAATGCACACGTTTATTTGTCGGAACATATATAAACACATACATATGCATATTCATACATGTTCACAGATGCATACATATTAAAATTATAACTCAAACAGAACCTGCAGTCTTGCTGACTCATTGTCTGGTGTCGCCATCCTGTATCAGTTCACATGTTTACATACTGTCTAATTAACATTTTCGCATAATAACATCATCCACGTTCACACTGGCGTCAGCATTAACCCCCTTTTTTGTGTCTAACGTACATTTCCGACACCCGTGCATGCCTGTTTACGTGTCTGTGTGTTTGTTTACATGTTCCATCAGTATTTATTGTTATTATTTTTGTTCTTTTATTATTTTATTTTTTCTTTTTTTATTGTCTTGTTTTTTGCTGTAGCAAGTTTCACAGCTGCTCTCCCTACTCCATCAGGGTCAGTATCAGCCTCGGCCCAGCTTCAGAGGAAACAAATACACTCGCAGCTACAGGTAAACAAACAAACAATGAAGCAAACAAACAAACAAACAAACAAACAGGCAGACAGACAAGGCAGGCAGGCAGGCAGGGAGGCAGGCAGGCAGACGCAGCGCTCGGCTGGTGAGGAGGGTAGAGGAGAGGGGTAGTGGCCCGCCGCGTGGTGCTGGTTCGATCCGATTGGATGATAGGGACGTTTGTGGGTAGACTAGGACAGAACTTCCCTGTTGCCGTGGTCACCCACGTTCGCAGAATCTGATTGGACAGCTCCTCACATGAGGTCATAGCTTGCTTTTCTGTTTTTTTTTTTTCTCCCTTTTCTTTTCTCCTCTCTGTACTCATCTGTGTTTTTGGGTTTCTGGTTCATGCCGTTTTCTTACAAACCCACATATTTTTTACTACGTCCTGCACGTCATGCGACACACGGTGCTGTTTTATTAATGTAAATGCATTTTTTGGCCTCATTTATTTTGCATCATTTGCATTTTGTGGCACGTCTTTTTTGTGGTCGTTACATTTGCATTTTTTTTTTGTGCTCAAACATCACAGATGATGAGGAAACAGCACATATTTTACTAGATATGACATTTATACCATATTTTACATGATGTCTTATGCATTATAGCATGGAAATGCATGCAGAGTGACTGTTAGCAGCAGTTGTGTGCATGAGAGAGAGGCTGGAACTGGGTGGGTCCCTATGGTCCCGAGAGCTTCTTTGCCATTAGTCTAACAGCGTTGGAGCACATCTGTGGGTTTTGTGTACATTATAGAATGTGGTTTGTGTCTATTTCAAAGTTTTTGAAGGGCCATTTTTTACTCTGCGCACATTAAGACCGACATTTCTACTCAGTTAAGCCTGTTTCTTT